GAAATGTTGTATCTTTGGCTATGTATATTTTCACCAAAAAAAAAAAAAAAAAAGAAAGGTCGAGAAGGGAGAGGGTTGACATATCGTGGGGTTGTTAACCAATGTCATAAAACAATATGTGTACTGACTGTTCAATGAGAAACTATTTGTTCTGTAAACCTTCACCTAAAGTACAATTAAAAAAAAGAAAAAGACCCCACTTTCCTTCCCCTGAACCTCATCCTTCAGAGCTTGGACTATGCTCAATCAGGTGTCCTCCTTTATAGTAAAATTTCCACTTACCCCTTTGTCTTTGCTCTCTCAGTTATTTTTTCTCTTTATCTAAATCATGTCCACTTTTCAGCCAGTAAGGAGGAAGGGCTGAAGTATATTGTCCTTCTCTTCTAAGCACACTGCTCAGAAATTGCACAACACTTCCACTTATTGTTCATTGGCCAGAACTTAGTCACATGGTCATATGTAGCTTCAGGGCAACATAGTGTTTTAGTTGGGAGACAATGAGTCCAGCAAAAAACTGGGCTTCTTAATACTAAAGAATGACAGACAACTAGCAGACTTTGAAACAATACTCAGTGAAAATATTGAGAAAAAATAGTATATAACATCATAAAGCCTCTCAAAGATTATAAAAATAAGATACTGCTTTTATAGTAGAGAATTACTAGATAGATTTTTTTTTTTTAATTATCTGTGATTTGATTTTTTTTTCCTCTCTTTTCCAAAAGCAAAACTATTCATTTCATCTTCTCTTTTTATAGGACTTTCCGTGACATTTCTGATGATCTGAAATCTTCAGTAGAGTGACATGGCTTCCACTGTTACGATTTTCGTAGGAAGCTCAACCGACAGTGAGTTGGGCTCAGCTCTGGCCTTCTGTCGTTTTAGCTGTGCCCAGCAAGCAGAGCCCAGAAAAGAAGCAGAAACCTCCTGACCTTATATACAGAATGCCTGGACAAGAGAGAACTTGCTGTGGGCTGCTTTGCATTTTAAAACACAGCTTTAGAGCTTAGAAATGGGGTTTGCTCACTTAACTGTTTCTAAAATGGCTTGAAAAGTTTCAATTTATACACTGGTACCATGGCTTGGAATTTTCCCACTTTGATTATCTGTATTATTATATGTATTTATAAAGTTATTTTAAGAGGTCTAACCTACTCGCTATTAAAGGTGTATACTGTGTAATTTTCTCCCGTTTAAGAAACTATTCTTAAACTTTTCTCTGACAGTCACTTTTCAATGAAGAGAATTTTCACCTTTCAGTATGTAGCTTTGTGAGCTGGAAAAATGAGTTTTCTTCCCTGCTGTCACTCTGTGGAGAGCCCTGGTGGTGCAGTGGTTAGGCACTCGGCTGCTAACCGAAGGGCTGGTTGGTTGAACCCACCAGCAGCTCTCCGGGAGAAAGATGTGGCAGTCTGCTTCTGTAAAGATTATATCCTAGCAAACCCTATGGGGCGGTTCTACTCTGTCCTTTAGGGTTGCTGTGACTTGAAATCGACTCATTGCACTGGGTTTGGTTTTTTTTGGTTATCACTCTTTATCCTCCCGGGTTTAAGAAAGAACAAATCTTAAGTGTAGGAGTGGGTGTGGCTTATTTGAGGTTCAGTTGTATGTTGCAAATATAGGAGATAACAAAGGTTGAAGCTCTTTCTCCTTTCCCTTTCCCCCCATCTCCTATTACACCACTATTAAATTCCTAAAACTTGGCTGACCACATTAAGTACTCATTAACCTGCTATTAATGGTAATTATATGATAGAATTCATGCTGTGATTATAGTTTTTTCTCCTCTAATGTTTTGGTTTTGTTTTTTAAGTGAAAAAAATCTCAGGAATAGCTATACTCTGTTTTGTTACGTGTATCCCTGTTTCATTATTTGAAATTCCACTGATTAGTTACTTACTAGCAGTAGAATTTTGTATTTATGTTGTATTTTTTGATCATCACTTAGCACAGAGCCTTGCACATAAGACACTATATGAATGGTTGTTGAATTAAATTGTAACTTTTCAAATATCCTAGATATTATTATAACCAGCATAGTGTTTTACATTTTGCTAAGCCTTTTTGTGTATGTTATTTCACTACCCTTTCACATCAGCTTTCATATAGTTTCACATTATTTTACAACAGTTTCACATAAATGGGGAAGCTAAGGTTTAAAAAAGTTAAGTGACCAACTCGAAGTCATAAAGCTAGTAAGACTTGACCTCAGGTCTTTCTGACTCCATAACCTGCAAACTCTGTTGTGCTACGGAGCCTTCCCTCTGATATCTTGCCCAATGTTTCCCAATACTGTGAGTTAGATTTTGCTATCCATTTGTTATGAATGAATTTAGGACTTGTCCTGCAGTTAATGACAGGGCTGGGACTAGAGCCCAGCTCTTAGCTTTGTGTCCTTTCCACTGTACAAAAACAATCATCAGACTCTTCCTCTGCCCCAAGGGAATATGGAGGAAAAGGGGTTCACTAAGAAGTATAGTTAATAATAATTAGCTTAAATGTGTTCTGATATTACTTAAGAAAAACACATCTGGAAAATGTCGCCATGAGTTCTTTGACCATGAGTAGACTACATGCAGATCTCTTGTTTTTATTATGAATCCTTCAATAATTACAGTCTGACATTCTGCCATTTGTTAGATAGCTCATTCTGTTCTTTAGTCAGTTGTTCATTAATTCAGAAATTTGTTGAGAATTTGCTAAACTCTAGGCTCCACTCCAGGCACTGTGCAGGGTGCTATAGGGAGATAACTCATTAGAAGGCCTTCTTTTCATCTTAAATCTTGGCCAGATAACATGTAATGCTACATTTAAAATTTTTGCATTAAAAGGGTTAAAAAAGAAATCAGGTTTGTTTTTTGTTCATTGTATATTGATAAATTTATAGCTGTAGTGAGCACATGTTAATAAGAGACATATTGTACACAATGAATTGGTGTACACGAATTATGTTCCTCTAAAGTGCTTTTGGAGCCCTGGTAGCACAAGTAGTTAAGAGATCGTCTGCTAACCAAAAGGTCAGCAGTTTGAATCCACCAGCCTCTCCTTGGAAATCCTATGGGGCAGTTCTACTTTGTCCTGTAGGGTCGCTATGAGTCGGAATCTACTCGATGGCAATGGGTTTGGGTTTTTTGTTTTTTTTTTTTTGTAAAGTGCTTTTAGCTGTATAAAGTGGTACTGTGAATAACTAAACTTAAGCTATTGTGTGGATGTTGCTGGGCATAATTGTTAGGATGAATACGGAGTTTTTAGGGGGAAACTCTGAGCACTAAGAGAATAGTTTAGAGTTGCCACAATTAGCAGCAATGATGCAATATCACCCTGAGATATCAGGAGGAGAGGTGCCCCACAGTGCTACACAGTCCCACTCAGGAAATTTGAACTGCCCCAGTCCTCCAGTGACAGTATAAGGAATAGAAAGGTTAGCTAAGAGAAGTGTAACGGGGACCTTCAAAAATAAGAGAGGAGCATCCTAGCATGCCTGCTCTCTACCCTATTCAAAGACTTTCAAACATAGTGAAAAGATTTAATGGAATTTTCTCAGGGCATAGAGACCGAGCGGTATGAAAAGAGGAATCTCAAGTTCAAGTCTCAGAGATAACCTGTCCTCAGATTCCCAGTCAGAATTTGACCCAGAAAGAGCATTTCCCTAGGAACAAACCATGCATTGATGAAGTAGAAGTTGCTTCAGTAAAAACCAAGTCCATAAATCCTATCACAATATATCATTTTATAGCTGTATTAAAGATTAGTTTCAAGTACACATTCACTCTTCATTTGTAAGCTGAATGGGAGGGGGTGGTACAGGGATTGAAACCCTCCATACAGATGTGCTCCTCTCTTTTCTGAAAGAGGACAGGATATGGAATTTTCAGCATAAACTCCATGTCATCTAAGTCCAAAATTCCTATCACACTCTATTCCTAAAAGTAATCTCTGTCAGACTGCCTTAGATGCCAGTCTTGCTTATTTTTAAAAATTGCAAGGGCTCCTAACACTCTTTTCTATGAGAGATGGTTAGCTGGCAGAGTTCTTCCTTGATTTCTGAGACCGGTGTGGGTTGACTCTTGACAGTGAGAGGATACCTGAGAAGTGTTATGGAGACCCTGTGTTTAAAAACTCTGTAGCCTTAGGGAATGGCAGCTGTTTATACCAGTAAAGTGTGTGCTGCTAAAGGGCTTGCAGATGAGGTCTTCTGGCTAAACTGGGTCTTAACATGAACTCATGGTGACCCGTAAGGACTTCCTAGTACCTCTAGTTCCCACATGGTTGTATTGGTGCTTCAGGAATGTTCAGTACTGGGCAAGAAATACTCAGAAATTCAGGCCATGATGGGTTAGATTAAAGTAGTTTAGTGAGCTATCAAGAGCTTTCAGTCTCAGGGTTTACAGGAAGAATCCCTTCAGGGCTTCGCATACTCTCATCTTGAAAGTCTCCCTAGACCCTTACATAAGTGTTATAGTGAGACTTAGTGGGTGCATTTCACAGTGGAAATAGTTTCTGGTAACATACTCCGAAATGCTAGTTCTAGCTAAGAACAAGTACTTTTTGTTTTTACAATTTCTTGTCTTTATGTATTTTGTTATGAAAAGTATTTATTTCATTAACATATTGAGGACCTACAAGAAATACATATATTATCTGAAACCACCAAGTAATTTTTTGATGGTTTAAAAATTAAGATAATCTGCCTCCTGGAGTCAGAAATTCTGAGCTAGAATGGGTCTTACATAACGAGATGATTCTGTCATTTTCTAGAGAAGAAAACACGTTCATAGGTTAACCTGACTTGTCTAACACACACAGCCAGTTACAGAATTCTGAGTAGAATACAGTTCTTTTTTTTTTCCTCTCAGTTCGTTGTTCTACTTTTTTCCCCTTTTCCCTGTAGTTCAGCAGCATTTGCCAAAATGTGTTCCTTATAGCAGTAGTTCTAAAGGATGTTAGTAGAAGTTGTAAGAAGGAAAAAAAATGTGTGGGGGGAAGGGGACTTTATGGTTGATTAAAATTGAGGAATGCTGAATTTGTTTTCTTCCTATAGGACTTCTAAGAGTTTTTAACATCCGTATTACCAAAACCAAACCAAACTCGTTACCACTGAGTCGATTCCAACTCATAGTGACCCTATAGGACAGAGTAGAACTGCCCCATAGAGTTTCTGAGGAAGCGGCTGGTGGATTTGAACTACTGGCCTTTTGGTTAGCAGCTGATCTCTTAAACACTATGCCACCAGGGCTCCAGGACAAACTATTATATGCTGTGAGTTTTTAAGAGGGTTTAAAGACTGTTTTTTAGCCTTCCTTGACTTCAGAGTACCCCTTCCTTGTTTATTCAGATAATCTCAAAGGACTACTGGTCCTTTAGGAAACATGGCTGTAGAGTAAGTTTACAGCCCTTTAGAAGATATCCCTGATGGAAACACTGAATAATAAATCTGTTACCATGGTACCGTGTAATCTTTAAGTTGAGTGAGCTACTAGAAAGAGCATGTTTGCAGTTCTGAGCTATACTTACAAGTATAGAGATTCTTCTCCACCTGTGGTGTGTAAAGTCAGTATTTGTTTCATTTTGCAAGTTTGTAAAGAATCAGTTAATGTGCAGATACAGTGGTGATGCTATTACATTTTAATAATGCTTTTGTATGGCACTTTAGAGTTTTCAGACCCCCTTTTCATAACCCTGTGAGGCAGATGTTAAAAGTATTATCCTCATTGTACAGATGAGGCACTGGAGACTCTGAAAGGTTTGTTGTCATTTTCCCCTAAGTTTATAGCATAAAATGACGGAGTCAGAATTTCAGTTACAGGACTTCCGACTCCAAGTCCAGAGTTCTTTCCTCCACACCTGGTTTCTTTCTTTCTTTTTTTTTTTTTGTTTCCGGCTTTATATTATTCAATGAAAGGTGTGGAAGTAAATCTGAAAGTAACATCATTTTGGCTTATTATCAAATACCATTTATTTTCTATTGCAGTGACCAAGAAAGTAACTTTCATTGTAGCTAACCCGAAGAAAACCCTTCTTTTGTCCTTTGCAGTGCCACTTGTTTAGGTGACTAAAGTGTTCTTGGAAACATTATTTAATTTTGAAATCAAGATTGGATGTATCTAGTTGTAATTGTTAATGAAACCTTTTGAAAATTTATCAACTCAGCATTCTCAGGCAAAGTAAAGATGGTTTGAAAGTGAAAATATTCAAATACAACAATAAATATTCTTTATACTCACATACATGCTGTTTCTTAGCTTTAACATGCTTTGACAACTTACTGATGTAACTTCTTTGTAAATGTAAAATATTTATATTTTGAAATAAAATTACCAGTGTTGAATGAATCGGATGGTAAACTTAGTCTCATTTCTGTCAAGAAATTTGATCTTTAGTGAAGCCAAACTTTAATGAATATGTCCATCTGTCTCAGGTCTTATGTCTTCCTTTTCTTTGGTTACACTGAAGTTTTGTTTTTTTTTTTTTTTGAAATATGGCCAACTTATGTAAGGGAAAGTATATTTGGTGAGTGAATGCTTAAATGGGGTCCAAGGCTGAGGCCCTAAGTTACGGCTTTCTTCAATATAGGACTTTCACCCAGAAGAAATAACTGCTCTGTGTAGCACCGGTAAACAAACCTGAAGAGCCAATAAGGCGGAAGTACTGTCAGAAGCACATTTCAGCAGTGCTTGGGAAAGACCTTTCAGATACCTGGAGTTGGTGGTATCAGTCTGACATTATGAATGGAGAAATGATCCTGGCTGAGGTGTAGGGTGAACTACTACCAGTTACCCTCCAGTCGATTATGATACATGGTGATCCCAACTGTGAGAACTGCTCCATAGGGTTTTCAATGGCTGTGATGTTTCCCAAGTAGTTCTCTACTCTAGTGGTCCAGAGCAGCGAGGAACCCACCCAGGAGTCGCCTGAGGAGAGGAGGAGGCGGGGCAGGCAGTGGAGTCAGAAGTGGGGGGCTGGGCTGCGGAGAGCGGACTTGCACTGGAGCGCGTAGGACA